TATAAGGGTCATTTCACAGTTCATCCGGGAGCTACAAAGATGTATCAGGACCTAAAGATGAATTTCTGGTGGCCTGGTATGAAGAAAGATATTGCCGAATTTGTCTCTAAGTGTCTCATTTGTTAGAAGGTAAAGATTGAGCATCAAAAGCCTTCTGGTATGTTACAACCTCTGGATGTTCTTGAATGGAAATGGGAGAGTATCTCCATGGATTTCATAGTGGGATTGCCGCGAACACAGGCTAGTTATGATTCTATATGGGTGATTGTGGATAGATTGGCAAAATCCGCACACTTTTTGCCAGTTCGGGTAGATTTCTCTGCTGAGAGATTGGCTAGGCTCTATGTGAAGGAGATTGTGAGGCTTCATGGGGTGCCTGAGAGCATTGTTAGTGATCGGGACCCGAAGTTCACTTCTCGCTTCTGGGGAGCATTGTAGGAGGCTCTTGGTACTCAGTTGAGACTGAGCACTACTTATCACCCACAGACGGATGGTCAGACTGAGAGGACCATTCAGACGTTGGAGGATATGCTGAGGGCTTGCACCCTGGAGCAGGGTACTGCATGGGATCGATATCTCCCGCTGGTTGAGTTTTCATATAATAATAGTTTTCATGCTAGTCTGGGTATGGCTCCCTACGAGGCCTTGTATGGTTGCAGGTGTAGGACACCTACTTGTTGGTCAGAGGTTGGAGACACAGAGCGGTTTGGATTGGATTTTGTTCAGGAGACTACTGAGCAGATCAAAATGATTAGGGATCGTCTGAAAAAGGCTCAAGATCGTCAGAAAAGTTATTATGATCTCAAGCACCGGCCTCTAGAGTTTGAGGAGGGAGATCATGTATTTCTGAAGCTGTCACCGGTTACGGGTGTTGGATGAGCCCTGGGAGTGAGGAAGCTGAATCCGAGATTTATTGGACCATACCAGATTCTTCGTAGGGTGGGACCGGTTGCCTACCAGCTTGCCTTACCTCCTCAATTATCAAATTTGCATGATGTTTTTCATGTTTCTCAGCTGAGTAGATATGTAGCTGATACTTCTCATGTGGTTCAACCTGATAATGTTGAAATCCGGGAGAATTTGAAGACTCCTATTGGGCCACTGAAGATACTTGAAAGAGATGAGAAGAAGCTGAGAAATAAATCTATTCCTATGGTGAAAGTCCAGTGGGAAGGAAGGACGCCTGAAGAGTCCACTTGGGAGCGGGAAGACGAGCTTCTCCGACAGTATCCTGAGTTTAAGGACAGGTACGTTCTTGATTTTGCGGACAAAATCGCTAAAAGGTGGGGTGACTATAATAACCCATCTTAATTAATTAGTAAATCAAGTGTAATTAATTAATTAAACATGTTTTAGTGAGTAAAGTTAAGTATAAGGCTTAATGAAATGAATTTGAGTCACTTTGGAGTTAAAAAGTGTACTCAGTGAAAATTAAGGGGTATAAATGGGTACTGGCGAAAGTGCCCAAAATATAAAAATAAAATTGTAAATGTTCCTAGAATAATATTCCGGACTTTTGGGTAAAGTTTGGTAATTATTGGAGTTGAACAGATAGACGAACCAATACCCGCTTAAAGCCACTTAACCAATGTTAAGTGACTAAAAGCCAAAAGAGCCCCATTTCCCACCCCATTTCGTCGAGCAACCAGAGAAGGAGAAAGAAGGAGAAAGAAGAAGAAGGAGAAAGAGAGAGCAAATCTCAACCAAATTCATCCGTTCAAAAGCCTAAACCACTTAGATTCTTCCCCTCTTTCATAATCCTAGCTTTGTTTTGAGTGGGAGTTATTGGGGAGAGAGATATCAACCCTCCAAAATTCGCCCCTTTTGGTGAGAGTTGGGGTTTTGGGGTGATTCTCTCCATTGAAGCTTGGGGAGCGCTCATCGCATCGTTGTGTGGTCATTGGTGGTAAGTTTCCACTACTTTGCACACTAAATCCCTAGATTTTTGCATGAGTTAGGGTTTGTGAATAGTGTATTAGGGTTTTCATAGAAATGTGATTAAATTGGCTATGCTCTAGGAAGTTTGAGACTTAGTAGATGTTATGAAAAATGCTAGAAATGAGCTTAGTAGTCAAATGAGTAGGTTTGGAAAATTGCAAGAATATGACACTTGGTTATGAGTTTTCTTGCATTGTTGAACCATTGTTTGGTTGGTCATTGATTGTATCCTTGTCTAGGATTGAGGCAATTGGATCAACCTTAATTGACCAACCTTTGGAGCAAGCAATGGAGATGGATTAGTCCTTGAAATAGGTAAGTTCATCCTTGTGTTGTGGTATGAATAGGATAGCTTGGATTGATGATGATGAGTTATCCTTGAATGCAATATGTTAATTGCATTACCCTTGTATAGGTGTATGTTTGTAAAAGTTGATTGTTGAAACTGTTGGTGAAGAACAAAGGTCGACTGAAGCATTGAGGTAAGCCTTCGGACCTTGGGTGTAATTCCCTTGATTGTTCCACCAAGCCCTGAGAGGGTAGTGGTAGTTATAGTGTATATAAATGCAATAAAATAGTGTAATACTTTGTTATACGTATGTGTATGCATTTGGTGTGGCATAGGATGGTGTTTCCCTATGTTGGTATGTTGCATGACGATGCGTAAATCATACTTGGTAGTTAGCTGGCCAGTAGGACTATTTGCATCTGAGTTTCCTTAGGACAGCTTGAGAGCTCGAGGGATTTCTCCTGGAGATGTTATTGCACTTTGCATAGATATGTATTTACTGCATTATTATTGTTATTGCTATTACACTGATATGGAACTGTGGGGTGGAGAGATGCTCCAAGGACCCCTGGTTTACTGGATATATTCGTATATCTCACCCCGTGTTGTTGGGACCCCCTTTCAGGTAAGGATGCTGCAGGAGCCTCTGGTGGCAAGTGGCCATATTTGGATTAGCATATGCATGAGGATCCTAGATGTTGATATTATACATGTTGTTTTGTAGCTTACATGTATAGGATTGTAAATCATAGACCATCGATAGATGTATGATTTGTATATTGGAATGGACTTAGCCTATGCTCATGCCTTTGGTCATCTCTTTTGTTGATGGGAGCCAAGGGAATGATCATAGTGTTTTGTAAGCTAAGTTCCATGATTTGTAATAGATATGTATTGTAAATGATGCCTACTTGAAATTCAATATATGCATGCTTGTTATGTATTGAGTTATTGAATTGGTTGGGCTGAAAATCAATTAGGTACCCTTTGTTTAAATTGGGAAACGATGAGAAAACAAAGGTTATGCTGCCCAAATTCTAGCTAGATCTCATGAGGAGAGGTTGGATGAGTGCTAGGATTTAGTTTTGGGGCATGGACAATTGGGGTTTGGAATGGGGATGCATCTTCCCCTAGACTTGGACTTGAAGAAGGTGGGAATTGGAATTCCCTGGCAGCGCGCTTAAGCGCCCAGGAGCGCGCTCAAGCGCCCTGCTGCCCCTGTGAGTGCCAATGCATTCGGCCTCCTCGCGCTGGAGCGCCCAAAGTGGGGGCTTAAGCGCCCAGGATTGCGCGCTGGAGCGCTCTGGCTTGCGCTTAAGCGCCCTTCGCTGCAGAAAGATGGGATGCTTACTGTCCCCTCGAGTTTTAGCGCCCAGAGTGGGGCTTAAGCGCCCAGGGTTGCGCGCTTGAGCGCCTTGGTCCGCGCTTAAGCGCCCTTAGTCACTGAAGGAGGAGATGCTTCTGTCTCTGCGCGCTAAAACGTCCCAATGGGAGCTTAAGCGCCCAGGATAGCGCCCTTGAGTGCCCTGATGCGCGCTTAAGCGCCCATTCACATTGAAATACCTGATGCTTTCTGCCTCCGTGCGCTTAAGCGCCCAGATGGAGGCTTTAGCGCCCGATAACGCGCGCTTGAGCGCCCGGTAGCGCGCTGAAGTGCGCGGGGCCTGTGACCAACACCCTCTTGTGCTGTTTCAAATTGTCATAACGTGGGCTACAGTTCTCCGATTTGAGCGCGGTTTGAAGCCACTCGTAGCTAATGTAGAGATATACAATATAGTAGAATTTATGAAATAAATAGGAAGTAAATTAATGGTTTAAAAATGGAATAAGAACATGATGTTAAGCTTAATTTATCTGATTCCGCAAGGTAATATGGTTATGATCACGAAATTGGGTATTATAAGTTCGGTATGTTTTAAAATGAAAAATTTATCCGAATTTTAATTGAACCCATGTGATTGTAACTGCGCTTAATATCATAATGCGATGTTAACAAACCGGTTCTAGAACGGGGTGTTACATTTACCATTTGTGTTTTAATAATCAATTTGACACTGAACATTAGGGGTGAAAGTGGGTTGGGTTAGGCCGAGCTTTATCTCGTAAAGTCCAAGTTTATGCCAAAAAATTTCAATTTGGCCTGGTCCGATAGCATAATATGAGTCTAACTGTTAGCCTGTCTTGGCTTATTTATAAAAAAACAAATAACTTGGCTCGATTTGTTGGCTTGTTAATTTTTAATTTCTAAGTAGACCATGAATCAATTTCACAAAATACTCAAATTTTATTGTTAAAACAAAAATCACAATTTTAATGTCCAAACTGAACCATGAATCACAACAATAACTTATCACAATCTGCATTTAAGTCATTGTCAAAAACAAAATGCTCAAACTAAATAACATATATTTCATCAGATCTAACAAGTCAATCCATATTATGTAAATTAAAATAATTACAGTATACAACAAACACATCTTGATGACTACAAGAGTAGCCAAAAACTTATCTTCATATTCTCTCCCGTGCAAATACAATTCCAAGGTTACATAAGTTGGCAAATAATTTGTAAATGCAGAAAAAAAACAAGAATAAAGAATAGAAACAACAAAACCAAGATTAAGAAACAAAAAAACCTTTTAATAGATTCACATAGGCAATCTCACATGCTGAGATGTTGGTTCCTTCTACATAAAAATAAAGTCAAATTTCTATTAAAATTTAATCAAATATAATTAAATTATAAAATAATTTAAATTGATTAAATTTATACCTTTTGTTTTTTCTTCAAGTCGTACTTATTACGTAGCCAATCTCCACCACATATTAAAGCTTGGATGGCATCTTCAGCCAAGCTAGAACGATAAGCATCAATAACTCTTCCTCCATCACTAAATGTTGATTCTGATGCTACTGTAGAGATTGGTATACCAAGTATGTCTCTTGCCATATGTGATAAAATTTTATGCTTTAAGCTATTACTCCTCCACCATTCTAAGGCATCAAATGAAAGATGAGATTTTTCGTGATATTCATAAACACCTTTTACAAGATATGACTTCAACTCTGACTTTGCTGTAGGAATATATTCCTCTTCACGCACCATGCTCATGCTTTGGTCAAACCCAAAGGTAGAGCCACGTGGAACTTGAGTAAAGGAAGTAGAAGAGAATACATTCATGCTAGATCCCACTTGACTATCAGAGGATGATTCTTGCAAACTTAGAGCTGAATATTCATTATACAGAGTTTCTAAAGCTTCGCTCACCTTATCTATGTTAATTTGTGCCTCATATTTTGATTTGTATATAAGTGGAAAGCAAATTTTCACCATATGAAATTTACATCGTGGGTCTAAAACACTAGCAATGGCCATCAACATATTGCATTTCCCCCAATATTTATCAAATTTATCTTTCATAAACCTTGCCATTCCTCTCATAAAATCATAATTGTCTTCAGCTGCAACATTAATCACTTGTTTCACCCTAAACACTTCAGGAAGATATAAATTTGCTGTAGGATAATGAGTACCTGACATAACATTAGTAGCATGAGTGAAAACTTCTAAAAGATGGCATACATTTTCAACCTTTTCCCAATCCTCAGTTGATGGCAAATAATTATAATGCAGCTCCCACTTTTTATATTCTGGAAAAACATCTTTAAATTTAGAAGCAACATACAACATTTCATATGTTGAATTCCATCTAGTGGGACAATCAACAACTCGTTTCCTTTCTTTTACACCCATCTTCTTAACAATATCACAGAAAGTCTTCAATCTTGAGTCAAAATGATTAACATATTTGACACTTTCACGAACATTTTCAATGATACCTTTGATCTGACTAAGACCATGTTGCACTAGCAAATTCAATATATGAGCACAACATCTCACATGAAATAGCTGTCCACCAAGGACTAAGTCAGTGTTTCTTGCTAATGTGCTTTTCAAATTTCTTATACAAACATCATTGTAGGCTGCATTGTCCACAGATACTGAAAATATCTTATTTTCAATTCTCCATAATTGCAGACATTTAAAAATCAGAGCAGCAACATCAACTCCACGCCTTGGAGGGGAACCTTAACAAAACTCAACACTCGCTTTTGCAATTTCCATTCTGAATCAATAAAATGGCATGTGATGACCATATATTCAGCTATTTGGTGACTAGACTTCCACATATCAGTGGTTATACTGATCTTGTTCACACTACCTAATAAAGCCTTCAGACTTTTCTTTTCTGCCTCATATAATGCAATACAATCTCTTCTTACAGTAATACGCGAAACTTTCTCAAAATCAGCATTCACAAACTTAAAGGCCCACATCCAAACATCGTCCTCCACAATACTGAAAGGATACTCGTGACTCATAATTGCAGTAGCAATAATTTCTCTCATCTTTTCATTGGTATACATTCCTCTAGGTGCAAGAAAAGGATTCAAAGTAGAACCTATAGGCTGGAATGTTAAAGTGGTCTGCTTCTTCCCTGATTGGTCCAATTTCTTAGTCAAGCAATTTTGTGAATGCCTCCTTAGATGACTGGTGCTACCTCTAACTCCACCAGTTGCAAATTTTTGTTTGCAATAGTTACAAACTGCTTTACGCCCAACATTAGGGATGTCTACTTCATGGAAATCATTCCAAACTGCAGAAGTTTTTCGCCTCTTTTTTACCAAGCTTGGATCTTCAGATTCTTCACCTTGTGGGACTGGTTCATTTTCAACATCATTGCTTCCATCTTGATTAGAACTAGAAGCCATCTGTTTGAAAATGAAAATGCATTTCATGTTATATCAAAATTCTATATTCAAATCTTGCCATGTATATATTAAATATCCATAAAATAGCACAACTAGATTATGTTAAACAATACGCTGAATTACATACACGTACTGTTGCCATAAGAGACTTTTCATATAACAAATAACCTTAATTTAACATAGATATGTCATTATACATCCCATTTTCATTTACCATATTTTGTGCTATATATTAATTGACACAAATCGTAAAATGCTTTAGTCTTTCTTCCTTAGATAACTTCTTTCACTTAGATCAATATCATTAAGCTAGAAATTAATCATGCAAAATTATTTTAAATAAAGAATGGATTCAAGATTATTTTTGATATGATTTGGTATAGTAAAACTGAAGGAATATGCAACGGTAATAATCAATTCATGTGCATTGGTACATATAATTGAGATATTGTAACTGCTATGATCTATGATTATATGATAGGTGCATTTATTGATATATACTTTAAACCCAAGCATCTTAAGTATATACCTTTGCTTTGTTTTCTAAGGCATCTTAAAGGAACGACTTCAACTTTAATTACTCTGTACTTACTCAATACCTTCTCATCAGAAACATCTGTGATTTGTTATGTTGATACAATAATTACACTTGCATTTTACGTATTTGATATCATCATCTCATAGCATATAAAACAGTATTGCAGTATGTGTTGCTTTGTCACTGTCCTTACAAGAGTTCAGGAGAGACCAAACTCATTCTTACTTTCTTAGTAATAATTTATCTACTGATTTCTTAACGTGAAACACTTACCTATTCACTTTAGTATTAGTAGCTGAACCATAACTTCCAAAATCCAGCTCGTATTGTATATCTATATACATGTCAGGTCAAAAACCAACCATTCAACATAGTCCAATCAGTAATTTATATGTTGCAACAGAGTAATTATACATAATATTAATTCAAGGGTCAGGATCATTTTACACCAGTGTAAGTTACACTTTCAATCTTGTCCGTTGATCCCACTTATATCTAAAGGCTCTAATTTTTTAGTAATGTGAGCCATTGGATACAAGTGGATCAATGATCAAGATTGAGTGTAAGACTTCTAACTTTTACACTAGTGTAAGAATATCCTGCCCCTTAATTCAAACATGTCAAGTTAATTTTATGCTAAAAAAAATATGAACAAGTGGCGACAGTTAATTTGGTGGTTTATCATTTTTAAAGGAGAAATTAAAAAAATAAAAAATAAAATTGAAAGCCATAGAGAAAGATCCAAGACTATCATAATGGGGGGCAGTTGTACCAATGTCCGCACCCCATGAATCTACCATATAATTACTTGCTAAGTTGATTACATATGTAATTACTTGCTCTTCATCTATGTTAATTATTATGCAAAACAGGGAGAAAAGTGATGCAATTGAAGGTTTGGATCTACAAAAAATTAAGCCAAAGACCCACACACAGTGAAACATGCAAAGTACAAAGAGGAACCATAATGTGATGAGAGAGGGCGGGGAGAACGCACCTGGAGCTGCACATGCACAAGATTCAAGGTCAGGAAAAGATGGAGAAGGAGAGACTGGTGATTGCGAGAGTGGTGAATCAACTACACATTGTCCCAAGAATAAATTAGGAGGTTGAAATGAAACTCAGATTCTGGAAATGGCGTCCCCAATTGGAGTTTGCAGCAACAATTCCCACCAATCTAAGATTAGAAAAACGAAACCTAATAAGGTTTGGTGGAGCAAAGTAGACACCGTGTAAGGTTTGGAGAAGAGTCCCTCTTCACTTCAGTCTTGACTCTTTAGGCTTCTTGTGGGCTGTGATAAAAAACCGAAGGTGAACAATTGGGCCAACTTGGCGGCTCATGGTTCAGGCTAGTACATTAACACTCTAGCCCAATTATGTAATCAAACTTTTACACCAGCCCAAGTATAACGCCTCACAATTCTAAATTATATATTAAAAATATTAAATGAGGATTAAAAGGGAGGATTAGTGAAAATCCTGAAAATTAGGCCAAAATACAAAGAAAGGGCAAAACGGTAATTAGCCAAAACGCAACCCTAGAAAGATAAAAATTGAGTAGAAAGTCTCAGATGATAAAAATAACCCTAGAAATGGATTCAGAACGAAAAACTGAGTGGCTAGACAAGTTTCAAAAAATTCATTGAATAGTGTTTTTACCAGGTAAAAAATACCGTGGTACAGTTGCACCGTAAAGCGTGCCAATTGAATTTTGAGCTCTAAGTTTTGAATACAAGTTATAAATGGTTTATAGAACTAGGGAATATGATTTCTGATGAAATTTGACGGAAATTAATAAGTTTGGGGAAGCGTGCTTACGACGCGCGCAACAACTTAAAACAACATTTTCTCCAAACGACCGGAAAACTTCGGATTTATCTGATCAAGGGTAATTAAAGGACAATGGTTAATGTTAAAAATTAGAGTTTCTAAATAGGTTATGAAATCATGGACGTTTAGTGGAATCAGAGGGAAATTCGAATTAGTTTGAAATCGCGTGAGGTGGCGGTGGGGCCCACCTCACTTAAGTGGACTTAGCCACATGGACCAACACTATTCATCATCATCTAAAACCTCTTTTCTCTCTCTAAAATTTTTGCTCCCTTCCACCCTCCATGACCATTTTCATTCAAATCTTCTTCCTCTCTTAACTTCATCGATTCTTAACCGAATCAGACGATTCTTGTCTTGAAATTTGTTGGAAATCACCTTCCAAACACATTGGTGGTATCCATTAGCCTTGAAACCCTCTCATTTGTGAGAAACAAGCAAAAACCAGCCACGAATTTCTTGGGAATTTTGGTGTTCATGGAGTTGTTTGGAGCTCCAATGATTTAGGGTGTCTTGGAGGAGCCTTGTGCCTAGCTTTTGAGTAAGTTTCTTCATCATTTTCATGGTTTAATTTTCGGATTTTATTCATGAACCCTAAAGGGGGTGTTGTTGATTTGTGATGTTAGAGAGCTCAAATGGAAAATGTTTGTACATGAATGTGTCTTAGGATGATGTGTAGTAGCCATAAATGCAATAAAAATTATTGAGGAAAAATGTGATTTTTTTACTAGAAAATCTTTAGGATGTCATGACTTTGGGTTTGAAATTATTGTTAGGATTGAATAATGGGATTGTGGCATGGTTGTATGATGATATAGTAGGATTGTATGAGGTGTGGAGTAGTTAAAATTGATGGAAATTCCTTGGATGTACACCATTGTGAATTCAACCCTTTAAAGGAAAATTAGAGAATTGATGTTGTTGGAAATTGTTTGAGTGATGTATTATGTGTTAAATGGTAAGTAGATGGGTTGTGTGGTGGTTGGAAGGTTGGAAAACCAATGGAAAAATAATTGGTAGTGTTGAGTGGTTAATTGGACCTAGAGCAAAATATTAGGCAAAACGACGTTTTAATGACGAAAAATAAAAAGTGGCACTTGATATGGCCTTTTGGTGACCTAAGGATGCCTAAGAAAATGAGAAAGAAAATTTAGAAAAATAAATGTAAAATAAGACTATGTAGGTCGAACCTACCTTGTGTAAGTGAGGTTTTTTGATGTTTTCGTACTTTGATAGATTTGCCGTGTATTGATGATTCATACATGGTTGTTGTAGGTTGCCGTACGTTGATTTGAACCCCGAACCGTGAGTTCGGTGGATTGCCCTTGGTCCTGGACCAAGTGGGATTGAGGTAAGTGATTGGAATCATGTCTGTGTAATTGATGACTTGCATGTGTTGTTTGAATTTTAAGTAATTGGGAATGTCCTCTGTGTAGGCATTTTTGCTATATAAAGAGCTCGAAGAACATTTTATTGGGAGCTAAGTGAAGAGGACTAAACAGGTAACCTCTTGGTACTGGGGCTTGATCCCCTTGTGTGTTCCACCATGCCCGTTGAGGGTGATGGTAGAAAATGTATGTAAGTAATGTAGAATAACATGGTCATGCATTTAGTATGTATGTTGGTACATATAATGTACCGAGTCTCTGGCCAGTAGACAGTTTGCCTTCGAGCGTTTCGGACTTCCACTGGATAGGTCTCCGAGAAGGAGTTCCAGTTGACCTAGGGTCGTGGTGTGTGATCCGGAGAGGAGCACACTAGGAAGTCTCGGGTGTATATGGATGGGAGGGGTACCTTGGTTGGATGTTCTTGGAACACGCCTTGGATGAGACCCGTAGGCTTATATGCCGAGCCATTAGGCAGGACGTTGCGTGGTATTGGTAGCTACCATTTCAGCTTCGTCGTATTTTGTTTCCCTATGTTCCTCAGTTTCTCTAAATCCCTTGCTATATCCCATTTTTCAAATTGAAGTGAGCCATTGGGCGGAGTTTTCTCCGGAACCTTTGGGTTACTGAGATATATTCGTATATCTCACCCCGTCTTGGGGGCTTTATTTCAGGAGGTAGCAGTGGTGCAGGAGCGGCGAGCAAGAAGCCCGTAGGATGAGTCGTTGGAGGATTTTATACACTTTGGATTTTGATGGCCATTGAGCCTAGGCTAGACTTAGGGCATGAACATGTAAATGTTGATAGGATGAGAGTTATAGTCATATTTGTTCATATTATTTTTGCCTAAGCTTAGTTGTATTTGGATTATGTCATTTGGAAGTTTCTTTATCATGTATTATTTGGAGATTTAAGTTGTAAGTTTAATATGTCATGTGAAGCCTTGTAAATTATGTATGAGTTGATGTAATTATGAAGTACTCGTAATATGATGAAAGAGCCTTAGGCCTATTTTAGAATTATGAATATGTGTATGATTAGCAAATGCATGCAATTGGACTTTGATGATTGAAACGTATTAAGTATTAATAATGAAAGCGATGTGATACGTATTATATAAGTAAAATAAACTGTGATGGGTTGTAAGTGCTCCAATGCATTGTTGGTCCTTGTGTGTGCCACCTAATGATTATTAGGTACATTTGAGGTCCTAGATCACATTAGCAAACTTGGGGATTTTAGTAAAAACAAAGGAAACTCTGGCGAAATTTCTAGAAATTGGCATAATTTAGGCGAACTTCGGGAGAGCATATCTCCATCCACATAGGTCCAATAGGGACGTTCCATACGCCATTTTGAAGCTTGAGATGTCCTCTATCTCGTGGCAAAATTTGGTAGAATTATGGGTTGGACGCCGGCCTATAGAAGGCAGAGAGTGAAGACTGCCCATTTGCTCACTGCACTTGTGGCAGTTCTCGACCAGTTTTGGGAAATTAATTCCCGCTTCGTTTCTTAGTCAAATTAAGTGTATGATATATCAAATTGAAGCTTGAGGTGTCTAGTTTGTTGTATAAAAATTTGAGAGCAATTGGTTGAGTGGATTCTGTAGTAAGACAAGGGGTTCTCAAGGATCTTCCACCCCAAACTCACTTACACGAGCAATATAAGTTCAAAAGCATTTGACAGTATAAGTTCCAAAACTATGCAGTGCAACAGATATTCATGCCATGTGTCTTTTAACTATTCTACTGGCCAGAGAAATGCAGGACGTACGTCTACAACCCTACAATAAGTACAAGGAACACCGCTTGCACCTCACTCACAACCTCACCCTCTTGTATGTACCACATACTTAGGCTTACTGTATAGGTGGAACACCACATGCATATCATAAAGGCACTCGCATATAACAGCTCAACAACATTTCACAAATGAATATATCATGAAAATAACATCATGCATATAACCATACCCACATGGGACATGGTGGAACCAACAATTGCTAAACCGAGGACACGAAAGCTTACCTTGCAAGCTAACAATCCAAGCCAAGAGTCCAACCAATCTCAAAGCCCAAACACAGCAGAATCACAATCTGTTTTGGACCAACAATATATCAATATTCATGCTTTACAAGCATAAGACACAAAGACAACGCCTTTCTTTTACGTTTTACGTCTTTAGGCTTCTCACAAAGCCACAAGCCCTTAATCACTTAGATTCTGACTTACATAATCATTACAGAAGTCCACAGTAGCCAATCATGGGTCCACAAATCCAAAATAGCATTCTGTATGAACAGTACCTTCACTGTTCACGAAAACTCAGAATATCCAGATATTTGTCGGGGGCATATCAGGATATCAATATCCGGATATCTCTCTTCCAATGTCCCGATATCAATATCCGGATATTCAGATCCCCATATCCGAATATCAATATCCGGATATCATATCCGGATATCAGTATCCGGATATCCATATCCGGATATTTCGCGACAGAATGCAGTTCTGCATTTCGCGAGATATCTTTCTCAAAGGTCCAACTTTTACCGATTACAGAAGCTTAAACATGCATTTCTAGGTGTGTTTAGCATTACCCAACCTTAAGTTATCAACTTTAGCTCATTACATGCATCAAGGTTCCATTTTGAAGCCTTAAAACTCATGATCAAGGTTGCCAACACTTACCCAAGCTTCAAACAGAAGCACAAGGTGCTCTTGGAGCTCACTTGAAGCTCCCAAAGTCCAGCACACCCAAGGACACGAAAATGGTGCACACACAAGGTCCTTCCTCTCCAAAGGTTTCTTCTTGGATCACCAAGCACCAAGACTATGACACCACAACCCCAAAACCAGAAACTCAGTCCCTCACACCTCACAAGGCAGTGCGAAAACTCAGAATGATGCACCCTCCCCACTCACAATACACTACATTAAGTGTTTGATGAAGAAACCAAGAAGAAAGATGTATTCTTGGGTCATAAGGTGATGGAGAAGGAGAGAACCACAATGGAACAGTGAAAGAGAGCTGGTCAGCCACCACAAACACGTAGGAAATCTGTTATGGCCTAGGGTTTTGGGCCAACTAATGTACTTATAGTGTTTTAAGCCTTAAGCACACATTATTAGCGCTAATTGCTACCCTTATCATTTCAATACCAAACTTTGGAATCTGAACCTATTCATTTTTCTAAGATTTATCATATTTTTATTTTATTTTTCGCAGCATCTTTCCAGTACGTGCTTTTCCATAGCCAGTATCAGTTCTGACACCAGTTCTCATTATTTTAACTTGAAACTTGTTTTATAAGTCCTATATATTATTCTAGTGACATATACACACTTTTCATAATTTTCTGGGATACTTCATCGGTACGCCTTTATACCGAGTAGCAGAACCAGTATTTGCACTTTTCGTCAGAAAAATGACTTTCAGCATTATTACTCACTTTATTATAATTATCTAAGCCTCATAATAATTATTAGGGTCAATTATGGAATTATTTTCTAATTTCACACATTTAATTAAATATTTTCCTTAATTAACGGTGCAGGTTCTTACAGTTCACTGCAAAGATTTCGGACATATCAGAAGAAATTGTCCACAGAGGGTAAAAACAAGTCGATGAGACAGAAGCTGCTGCCTTGATAGTCAATGAACATGACAATGTAGATTTTCTCGCAACCTCCAAAGGTAAATGTACTTCCTCTAGTAAATATGAGTGGTTCATAGATTCCGATTGTTCTATTCGTGTTTTCTCCGGATAAGATTATTTTTACATGTTCAAAGAAAGCAACTTTGGAGTAGTCTCCTTGGGCGATAGGTCTATATGTAATGTGATCGGGATATGAAAAATTAAAATAAAGATCTTTGTTGCAGTGGTGCGTACTTTGGGTGGTGTGACTTATATCCCAAAGGCATGTGAAATTTTTATTTTAGTTAGCTATAGTTAAACTCAAAAAATTGTAAAACTACAATTGCTGATGGAGTTGTAAAAGTCACACGAGGTTTTATGGTTTTGGGAAAAGGAAGGAAGTTTGGAAATTTGTATCGTTTAGAAGGGAATGCATTCTACAGTCCCAAAATCTCGAAGAAAAATTAGAAGTTGAGTACAAATGGCATGTGCATGTGTAGTGTCTTTTTCGCAATTGGTGCAGAGACAAGAGTTGGCTTTCTGGGTGCAAATGATGGCTAGAAAAAGGTACCTACAATGGAGAGGATTGTTCGAGATCCCTCTTTGATGTTGATTGCATAGTCAACAAGTTTTATGCTACACATGTGTATTGCAGTGTTTTACGAATGGAGTAAAGTTAGAACCAATTTTCAATGCGGGTTATGTGTAGTTGTTTTCAATGCCAATATTTTATTTTATTTTTTCTATAATTGCTCATGGAAATTCTAACCAAGTGGGAACTCTCTAATTCAGTGGGAGCGGAGCATCAAGGAAAGAAGACATGCACGAATAGTACATAAATTTTCTTTTGACTTAAAGTGGGAAATTGTTAGTGTTGAAGCCAAACGTTAATGGAAAATAATTGATTCCATTATAACAGTAAATTAAGTGGCTCCATTATTAGAATTGATTGACTCTATTATTATTGGAAATAACAGAAAATTGATGGAACAACGACCAAATTGCCACTATTTACCTAAAATATTACCAGAATGCCACGCCCCAATTTTTTTTTACCAAAGTGCCACGTTATCAGTCTTGCTATGCCACGTGGCGAGTAAGGATTGCCCACGTGGCAACACCTGGTTGGCCACTTAACTAGCTGCGCAGTGCAGCTAGATTACGTGGCAGACAACCCTTGCCATCGTCTGCCACGTGGCCTAAAGCACTGGGCTATGTGGCGTCTTATGTGGCCAAAATCGCTGGCACAGTTACAAACAATTAACATTAATTTAATTTAGTTTAATTCTTTAACACTACTCAATTATATTAAATTTTTTAACCGTTACAAACAATTTCAATTAGCATAAATTAATTTTTAAATTAAATTAAATTAATATAGTCAACACTCCTAAAAATTATCAAATGATAATTGTAAAATAATTTAGTTAAATTTATACTAATTTACACTACATTAATTAACAAACATAAAAACTCTTAAATTCCTTAACACTCATAATTTATATTAAACTCCTAAATTATTTGTAAATGTTAAGTAATTAAATTTAAGAGTGTTAAATTAATGTTATTTAATTTCATTTAAATGACATGTGTCACACATGAACGTAACCAGCTGCTCAGCCCAACGGGTTTACCATAGTGTGCCACGTGTCACACATGCGTTGAGTGTTTCAACAGCCATCTCGTAAATAGCTACGCAGTCCAGTGATTTTGGCCACGTAGCCCAACGCTTTAGGCCACGTGGTAAATGGTGGTCGGGGTTGTCTGCCACGTAATCTAGCTACACTGCGCAACTAGTTACGTGGCCAACCAGGTGCTGCCACGTGAACAATCCTAATTCGCCACGTGGAGTAGCGAGATTGATGACGTGACACTTTGGTAAAATTTTTCTGGAGCGTGGCATTCTGGTAATATTTTAGATAAACAGTGACAATTTGGTCATTGTCCCAAAATTGATTGGCTACAATAATGTTAGTATCTTTATTTTAAATGGAGTAATAAGATATTGTACTAATGTGTTTGACTGAATGAGCTATTTGAAAAAGAAAAGAGAAAATCCAATTTGTATGAAAAATAATGAAAGAAGGTATACATTGGATTTAGAAATCTGAGTGTTGTATATTGTCTTCTTTGAAATTTCTTATGGTGGATTTGATATCTTCTATATGGACATAGCTTAATTTTGGGTGAACCACGTTAAATTTTATCTTTTCAATTATTATAATTTTGCAATAATATTATTACTGGAAATCCGCGTAATATTTCATATATCCTAGAAATTCTTAACACACACTTGAATATCCTAACAAAAATCAATATAACAAAACAAAGATGACAAAAATAAGAGAAGAATTTTTGTTTTTATTACCATCAAAGTAAATCTAGAACATGAAATTCAAATGTGGCTAGAGCCAATTTACTGGACAAAATGTTATTAGTTAGTGATGCAATTTTTGCATTACAATTGGTATAGGATGAATGGTGAGCAATCTCACACGTTAAAAATATTTTTCCCTTTCAGCTTTTGACTGCCGCTTTTACCTCAGCATGTCTACAGGACAATCTGTACATGTAAGAGAATATATCACCTCAGCTCAGCTCTATCTCGTGAAATGGTATTGGAACTGTCTTCACTGCCCGGAAATGACCAACATTGTTTAGATGCTCATTCTCCAACCTGTTCACACAGAAATTGTTCAGTTTCACCATTTCACTACTGTCAAGAAAAAAAAGAAAAAAAAATCATCCTAAAAGTGTTGGGCCGTGCATAAGGAGCTCATAACGGGGAGAAATCGTCAATCATGAACCAAGTGAGCAGTAACATTAAGTGAGCTCGGAACACCACAATCAAACTCAAAACCTTAAGGCATTAGGTGCATGGATCTGTCCACTTATATGGTGCTCACTTAATTCATTCTTAACCAATATGAAAATTTTTCACTCAATCACTCTCACTTGAATTCCTCAACATCAAAAAGCTTAGAGTTTAAAGGTTACATGATTTTAACATAATGTCAAAACCTTTATAATCAAGTAGTTAAGAGTTCTATTATTTCTTCTGTCATTTTCTAATCATTTTATTATTATACTAACAGATTGTGATATTGGAGCAAGGCATTTTATAGTCCTTACTAAATGAAATTGATGTACTCAAACAAGGGTATTCGGATTTACGAAAAAAGAAAAATAGAAAAAAAAGGGCATTCTGAAAAAATGAAAATGACATGTTTGAGAAAGTACCTGTAGAAATTCCAATGCCCTCGTCGAATAACCTCAAGTGAAGCTAACACAAAGTCTAGTAGCTTTGTTTGAGCAGGCCCCTTTCTTCTGATATATATTACAGTCTGCACCCAAGTCACTCTTAGGACAACATTTAATCCCTGAAATCCAATATTCCTTTTTTGGATTAAAATACTAATTTATGATTGCAACATTTAGATCAGAATTAGGTAAAGAGAATAACTTACCATAGACATGTAGTATATGCTTTTATTCTTTAGAATTAAATCATCTCTGAGCAATGGGTTTCTGGAGTTTGGATTAAAAAAACCCCAGTCCTTGACAAAATCCCAGTACAATTGATAAAATGTGGCCACCACAGAAGTGATTAAGGCTATAGCAAACCATAGATTGCTATCATGCCTATTATTATAGGTTAGTCTAGCCCAGGCTGCAACCATTGCTGAAATATACTTTCCCATGTTAGCCAAATTGGCAACTTCACCAGCATCAAACCACTTTCTTGCACACTGGTAATAATGTTCAAATAGCATGTGTTAGCTGATGATATTATAACCATATCCACAATTCTTGAAGCAGTTGATTAGTTTCCCACATTGCTATGTTAATATGAAATCTAAATTATCAGCAACAAAAGCATACCTGCAATGCACGCCAAAAATATGGCAAAAATGAGATAATATAGATTATTTCTGTGTATAGCGTTCCTGAATGACAGGCCTTAGGATGGTGTGTTTTGAAAACTCCAGCCAAAATGTTACACCCTGTTAATCCCAGGTGCCTTAGCAATGGAATCTGTAATCGTAGCATAAGATTTATTAGGATTCATAATGAGAAGCATAGAGAAACAAAGGAAAGAAATAGAATAAACTTGTCTTATAGGATCACCTGGCTGGTTAGTTGGTCAGCCATGAAAACGTGTACAAACAGAACCTGTAAGAATGATAAATTAAATTAAACAATGATATGTTCAATTTTCAACATGACTATATCTGTAGGATATCAATGTAACCTGTTGTTTCAAGGTATATATATATATATATATATATATATATATATATATATATATATGTGGTAGGATCCTTTGACACCAGTGTCAAATTTGAAATTCGACACCCTCATATGAGAGCCGTTAGATCAAAAAAGATCAATGGTGTCACATATTTACAAATCAGAATCGTTGATCTTTTTTGATCTAACGACTCTCAGATGAGGTGTCAAATTTCAAATTTGACACTGGTGTCAAAGGATCCTACCTCTATATGTATATATATATATATAAGGCAGGATATTCTTACACCGGTATAAGAATAAGAAGTCTTAAATCAAATCTTGATCATTGATTTGCTTGTATCTAACGGCTCAAATTTATAAATGAGAACCGTTATATATAAATAGGATAAACAATCAAGATTCAAAGTGTAAGTTACACCGGTATAAAATGATTCTTACCTAATATATATTTAATGTTTATCTTATAAAATGATAATTTCAATTTTCTACATGACTACATGAATGACATACCAATGTATACAATTGTTTCAAGGGATATATGAAAGAAATTTACCTTATAGAATGGAGAGCAGATGATGCTACGAATAATACGGATGAAGCAGAAGCGAGTTGGTCGATACAAAATGTCAAATGGCCAAATGAGCAGAACTATGAAAAACTGAGAATAACAGTTCATAATCAGCACAAAGATTTAACTTGAATACTAAAAATGCTATTATAAATCACTTTCTTGAATTTGAAGCAAACTAAGATATTTTATCCTTTGAAGTAACAAAGAAAAGTAATAATCATGCAATAGACTAACCAGAAGAAGAATTCCGGGTATGGCATCAACTTGGGTAGGAGCAAATCCTGTAGCCCTTAGAACCAAATGTATCACCATTGCCCCAAACACAGCACTAATGAAGGTGGTGCTCATCAGAAATGCATCTCTGTGCTTTAATGCTGTGCTTGGTGAAAATTCAAAGATGAAATTCTGGTTGATTCTTGTACCCCTCCACATGTACAGGTTACATCCATACATTAACAAGTGTAGGCTTAACAATGCAAACACACTGCATAAGATCATTGTAACCATTAGTTCAGTTATAGTATAGGTGTGTGTGCTTGTTTTATTGATTTATGTGCAATTTAATGGTTTATAATTACAAAGGTGAGTAAAAAAAAAAAGGGTTAGGATATTTTGACTACCAATTTTTTCTACTACCACTCTAATCACCATTGGATTAGAGAAAAAGTTGAATGAAGAGAGAGAAAAGAAAAATAACTTTTAATCCAATGGTGATTAGAGTGGTAGTAGAAAAAATTGGTAGTCAAAATATCCTACATAAAAAAAAAAAGAAAGATGATTTTTGGTGAAATTAAAACTTGGGACAACTTTGTATCTCATCTTCACCCATATCAAGAAGATCTTGGCACATGTGTAATAATATCTTGGCATCTAGTAGAGTAAATTAGTAAGAGTCCATTCATATTGTTTTCTCTACTTCACTGATTTATGATACTCACATGTTTTGTACCTCAGAGCCTTATTCGATATATTTAAATTATTTTGATTAAATTATAATTAGGATATTGAATAGTATTAATTAGAATGACATAAGTTATGTAATTGACAACTTAACCGGTGGTCTCAAGTTTAAGTCCCTGAAAATGTAATTGTGTTAAAATAAGTTTTGCTGTCCATATGGTCCTATCGGCTCAAATCGAACTAATTGATTGATTGATGAACCAATAAATAATATTAAAAAATAAATAAATTAACCTATAAACTATGAGATGTAGCACCTGAAAACAGGGTAAACTGCGTCCACGTAAGCTGGCTCTGAGCTAGGAGAGAATATACCACACAAATGGGCCAAGATTGCGTATACACAAAACAAGGATACAGAACAACCCGTACATAACCCTGCAGAGGCAGTAACAAAAAAACATTAATGAAGTGTTAATAATAAGAGAGAGAAAAAAATTTATTTACTTATCAAAAATAAAAAAGTAAAGATACAATTTGATCTATAAGCATAGTGGGCTCACCATACTTAATTAGTGGCCACTGGCTGGTAGCACACATTAAATTTTATTTGATTTATGTGTTGGCTTATGTGGTAATCACATTAGATATTGCGTTACACTTTGAAGTGATGGTGCTGTCATTAGGCATAGATTATATGTATATAATGGACACTCTTTACTTTTTGTTAAATATTCACAAATATACGTTAATGGTTGAAGTTATTAAGGGCAGGTTAGGACTTAATTAAGAGAGAGAGAGAGAGAGGGAGAGAGGGGCATTACCGACAAGGAACGTGATCATGTGAGAACCTTTTTGCTGTTGGGGTCTTAAAAACTTCATAGCCTTTTTCCTATCATCGTTGGCGAAGTGCTTTGTGAATATGGATTCCACTTCGTCCATTAGTCTAACAACCTTCAATCAAAATATTATAATGCAAATAACCACCACTTATTAGAAGGCGACATAGTATAACCCATTCTCCAAAATCAAAAGGTACTTAATTAAAAGTTGATATATATACATGTTTGTTTCTTTTCACTTGCTTTTAAAATATATGATTTTTAAAAAATAAAAAATAAAATGAAAAGTTAAGAAAACTAGCATACCTTGTCAGAACTAACGAAGTTTGATTTCTTCACTTCTTTTAAATAATTTGCAGAAGTCTTCTGGCAAGACACCTGATCAAATGGCGATATGATTTTTGTTCATATATATATTATCATAGGAATTCAATTTAGTTAAAAGATTATAATTAAATGATAAATTAATGAACAGTTCATAGCAGATATAAATTATATTACGTATCAGTGCTAAGGAGGTGAATTAAATATAGTTTATATGTAATTATTAATCATCATAAAATCACGTGACAATTATGAGATAAGCAAAATTTGACAAGAGTATAAAAGTTTAACTTTAAATTATCATGTGGATTTATCAGTATAGCGGAACATGTATGTACTATAGTTTTTACCCAAGGATATACTATAAAATATAATTATGATAATGTCCTGATAACAGTTAATGCATTTGAATATGTTAATAATTAGATGAGATGTCAAATTTATCAAATGATGTGATAACATATTATTAGATGTAAGTATAAGACATTTATACTAATAGTGTATTAAAATTAAATTAATGAATAATATTAGAAATATTTAATTTCCACTGTGATAATGCAAGATATTTAAATTGCAAATTAATTAAAAATGGGCGATTCCTTTTATTTTTTTAGATTTTTTTTTTCAAATTGGAAAGTAGTGACGATCGACTTTAAGCAAAAAAGAATATCGAGATATTTTAAAACGGGTAATGCTGGTAAAGTAGTAGCACGATCTCTGTATTGTGTCTAAAAAATAAGAATGCCACCCTGAAATGTCCACTAGCAAAATAATTGAATATTTAAGAGCTACACGCCTTTCTCATGTACTCATACTTACCATATAAATTATGTTATGTTGATATATTGTGCCAAACCCTCCCACTATTATATATCTAATACATAGGACTATATGCATTATGAAGAAGCAGTACAACACCCAATAATTTAAACATAATAAGTTAGCCAATAACTATAAAGAGGATTTGGTTTTGTTTTGTGTGTGTGTGGGGGTGTTTGTAACATGTTTTGGCACTATATTTTAGGTCATGCATTGTGTGAATAATATATAGCTGGGTTTGGAAATATGATATCATGACGTATGTTGTGATAGTTGTTAAGACTCTCATGACCTTCACGTGAGGAACATACCCTTCATTTGCTAGTTAGTTTGAAACATGCATGGTGAATAATGTGTACTTCAATTTCATTTGTCTTTTACTCTTTCAAAGTATATTAATTAACACCTAAAAGCAGGAGTTATATATGCACACTGGGAACAAAAAAGAAAATCTCAAATTCCTCATTGTACTTTTGCATATTCCTAGTTGTACATGAAGTGTCATGTGAAATGAGGTATATATAAGTGTCATGTGAAATGAGGTATATATAGAGATATTTGAAGCCATACCTTGTCAAATTTCTTCAGTATCTTGGAAAATGCAACCATATTTAGTGAGCTGGAACAAAGTGATAATACGGTTAGAAATTGGCCAGTCATGAAAAAAAGGCACTTTGAGTAAGTGGGCAAGAATTCAGCATCCAGGGAAACATACAAATTTTACGTAAAGGAATGAAAAAAAAAAAGTCTTTTTTTTTTTTTTTTGGAAACTGAAAAAAGAAAAAGAAAAAGGAATGAAGCTATTTGGAATTAATACGTAATTATTCTTTCTCCCGAAGAAAGTTTCACATTTTAATTGCATCTTAGCATGCCACATGTTTCTTCATGTGTAAAGTTGTTGAACAAAAGAAGCAGTGTTTTATATATGCACCTTCTTTTTCTTCCACCAACTTTTTTCAAAACGCTTGCTTTTTTGCCAATTAATTTTTGAAGTTTTATTGGTGTGTTTAATCAGAAATTATAGTTAAATGTTTTTTTATTTTAATAGAAAAAAGGGGTTTTAGCATAAATGGTGGAATTATTAGGTATGGAGGACATGTATATTACTAATATATAAGAATATGAAAATAATAATAAATAAGAACTCGAAAGGATATCTAATATTGGAAGGAATTGAAATAAGAAAAGGTCAAACTATAAACATGACAGAAAGAAAGATGTCCAATTTGGATTTGTTCACCATTATTTGAGGCATGATTGGATCAAAGGGGGTGACAGTTCACAATTTTTGTCGTTGATCCTAGAGAAACGTCTTGGCCCATATAACCTAAGAATCACACCAAACCTTCATAATTTACTACATCTACCAAAAAATCTTACGTACCGTTATGTACCTCCATGCAACTCCACACTAATCTTAGCCTCATTAATTTAATCCTTATCCTTAATTCTAATTCTAGGCTAACATACTCCACAAATCAACATTATGTTCCTTCCTACCCATGCTTTCTATGTTACACCACTACATATAATTATAAAAGCAATATATATTCATTCCAATAATTATAATAATGATAATAATAAAAATGAAAATATAATTAAATAAATAATAACCTGTAAGTTTTGAGAAGGCCAAGACCCTTGTAGAGCTCTACAAATGCACTTCTAATCATTTTTTCAGCATATTGAACTTTTCTCTTGTTAATGAATCCATACCCTTCTTTTGTAGGACTATTCACTAAATCCTCCCATATCATGGAAGTAACAGCCGTGCTTGCCTTTGTTGGTGTGGTGGCAGGAATATCAATTCTCATTGCCATCTTATTCTTTCCCTTCTTTGTTTTCATCCTCGTTGCTGAATTCACAAAACTTACACCATTTTTTTCCAATGTTGTAATTACTTCATCCATTTGTGAAATTTCTGAATTAGTTTCTTCCGATTCTCCAAAACTGTCTGCACAAATAAATACATGCATGGAGGAAAAAAACATAAATCAAAACAAATGAAGAAATTTATGTTCTTCCCTTCTATAGAATAATTTATTACATAGTGCGCCACGTGTCATGCTGACATTGCTTCACACTGTAGCTCACAAGCATAAAAATACAATTTTCATACGCCGCACTAAATCAGAAAGAGACATGAGTTGACAACATGTTTTCTTGTGCGCATACCAAAGATCCGATTTTGTATAGTGACACCACTCATGAAAATAATTTATTAATAATTTTATCATAATAACACATTAGAAAAAAGTTAGAAAAAAATCAAGGGGAAAATCTTCTATTTACTAAAAATTTCTGTTAATTTTTTATATCTTAAAAAAAAATCATTTGTCTAATTAGTTTTTTATTGTTTAACCGTACAGTCTTACTCTTATATATTTATAAAGAGACTTTTTTCTCGATTCGAATTTGTAATTGAATAAATTTATTATTGTACTAGATTTTTTTTATATTTAATAAGAAAATAAATAATAAATAAATAAGGGACCTACCGGAGCAAGTTGAACCCTGGCTTGGAGAATGAGGGAAAATGCCATAATTGGAAGCTTTTGACGACGGAGGATTTTTCCGGCGGCGGTTACCGAAAAGTTGCTTAAGGTCTAGCAAGATTTGAAGCTGCTTGATGAGTGTTTCTCCTCTATCAAGAAACTCAATCTCTTGTTTCTTGTAGAATTGGTTCACTTTGTTAAGCTCTTCATCCAGTTTTGCAAAAAACACATGTACTTCATCCTCTTCCGAAAACAATTGTGAAAGTTCTGTTTCATACAATTCTTCTTCGCTGTCTCCCATCGTTTTCCTCTTCACCTGCGACACAAAATTCATATCAATACTTATATATAGGGAAACATAAGTATTATGTTGTAGGAATGAGTTTTTTTGGTCCTCCAACCGTTTTTTAACTATGTATTAAAGGTAGTAAATAATGAAAATATTAAAGTTGCTAACGTGGAGGAGAAAGCAAAAATAATTTTAATATTATAACTATATACTACTCTTAGTACATAGTTAAAAACGGTTGCAGGAAACACGAACCCTTGTATATATAGCTACCCTTAAATAATTTCATTTCAAGCACTCATTTTTTTTCAATTATTTAATTTAATTTTACGTTAATTGTTCTACACGTTTTTTTGTTTCTTTTTTCTCTACTGGCACAATGGTTTCGTGATATGATATGTGAATAATAGTAACTCTCACTAACAACCAAAACCGTTTCCCCTTGCTTTCGTGAAAGAATGAGTTATTCCATAATGGAAAAGAAAAGAAGAAAGGAGTTTCATAATAAAAAAAGGCCACTAAGCTCTCTTTAGAGCCTCACATTCTCCACATTCTTGTTTCATCTTTTTGACTATTATATATTTTACTCACTCCTTCCTCACTTGGAAAAAAAAAAAATATTAAAAAACCACCAACTATTATTTCAAGTGGTAAGTGGCGTATTCTCTTTAATAAGAAATGTTAAGTTTGAATCATGAAGATTAAAAAAAAAAAAAATTAACAAAGGAGAGTCGTCTTTTATGAGTCCAACAGCACTCGAACCAAAATATATATAATCAAAATTTAAATATGAAATATTTTCAATCTCATGCATATTATTTTTTTTTGTTTACAAAACATGAGGAATTGTTTAGATTCATCGTGAGATATATATTTATTTGATTGGACCATAGAGCGAAAGTTTTATACTGTCGTGTGCTAGTGCTACCAAAAGATTGAACATTTGTAATCGCATTATGTTTCCGTGGTTCATATTAACTATAATTAACGTGGCTATTATGTAAACGTAATTTCAAATCCTTGGTTGAGAAACACACGACTTGAGTGTCTCTAATCTCAAAGTGAAACCTTTTTCGAAGTTTGGAAGAAGGTTGTTTACGAGTTTGTGAACGGAACACAAAAAACTATATCCTAGAAAAGAGTATTATTGCAACATGACTTTCAGAAATTCTCGGAAACACTACAAGACAAAAAAAACACAGAAAACCATAGACACACGCAAAAGGTTTTAGGACATGTCCCTAAACATACACATATTTTACCAGAACAACCAAAAAAATGAGCCAAATGCCACCCGAAAAAGAAAAAAGGAAAAAAAAAAAGATTCCAAACCATTTTTACTACTTTACCTGAATGATATCTGATTTATCATTGTCCGAACTGAAGAACTTGTTGGTTATGAAGCGAAATGAATCAAAAATGGAACGACCAAATTCAACTTCGGGTGCTTGTTCTTTCTTTGGAACTTTTGCGAGTTTAATCTTTTTTATCTGTTTCTTGAGCTGCTTGTAGTTGACAAAGGCTTCCTTCCATTCTGGTATTATTTGAGCTTCGAGTTCCTTTGAGAACTTCACCATTATTTCGGGTTTGGTTTGTGGTATGTGGTGAAGGAAGAAAAGGAGGTGATGGTGGTAGTAAGAGGAAGATTGAAGAAGAACTTATATAAAATATGGTGTGAGAATGAGAGTGTGGTCGAGGGGCTTTATAAGAGAATTAAGGATCCGTGTGCATAACATTGTGAAATGCTGACGTTGCTTTTCAGATATGCTTTTAGTTGCTGTTTCCCTTTAGAAGGATATCAAATAAACGGACATCCAATTTTTTTGTGTGTGGGTGCATGAATCGAAATTATTTTTAATTTATAAAGGTGTTAGGCATTTAACAATCACAATAATAATAAGAATTTCTTGGGATTTTTTATTTATTTATTTGTTATTCATCAATTCATCTTAAACTAGTCGATTAATTAATGAACCAGAAATCAACATCAACAACACAATTATTCCAAATTAATTGAGTATAATCGGGCAATAATACAAGGACAATAAAATTCTTTTTATAATATTTTTAATACACATAAGTACTCAGGATTTTAACTCGAAATCATCAGTTAAGTTGGAACAACCCATACCAATAAATTTATGTGCTTAATAATAATTTCATGGGAATTCAAATGTGACTGATATGATAAAATCTCATATTAGTTAGTCTACCAAACAAAAGTCTCATATATATTAGTTATAATTGAACTCAATGAGAATGATATAAGTGAAATGATTTATAAACTTATTGTTTAAGATTTTAGAATTAAGATGTGATGTTGAGTCACCTAATTATTCTGCTTATTTGGCCTTCTTAGACCACCTGTAAGTAAACTAATAACATGATAATTTGTTCTAGATCCTTACTTCATTAAAAGTAGACATTAGATTTTTTTATTTAAAATAAAATATTATAATAATATTAAAAATAATGTTGGTTAATATGGCCTAAAAGTCTTGTTAATGTGCTGAGCGTGAATATATGACTGTATATTGATATATATTAACCTATATGACTTTACAGCCATTATGATATTCACCAATGGTAGCCACATATAAAGGAAGATAATTAGACCCTCTATATAGTATATGTTTTAATAGCAAATGTACAGATGGCAACCTAACAGCCATCAGTATTGCGTCGAGGTTGGGCAGAGCTGTGATTCGTGGATTTTTTGATCAATCGAGTATCTGGAGTTACTATATATAGGTCTAATACCGAAGTTACAAGAAATAACTATAACTCGAATAGTATATATAAGAGGCATAGACTATTAGAATTATAAAAAATCCATACCTTATGAGGGACACGCCAAAAAAATAGGTAATAGTTATTTTGTTTGATGCAAGAGGGTCGTCATTAACTCATTATCATAGATTTTGTGAGTTATTTTTGTTTACAGAGGAGATACTTGTAGGTGGTGGCAAATCTATGCACATAAAACAGTCTTGGATTGGAAACCAAGATGATACGTGTGCACAATGACAATAAAAGAAGTTAGTGTGTCAAAACCCATGAGATTTGATCCTTTATTTATAGAGAAATTTACCTTTTATTTGATAATTTCATAATCTTCAAGAGCCTATACGACCCATTATGTGGGTTAAAACATGTTGAAAATTAAATTGTGAGTGAAATTTAAAGTAAAAATGAAGATGCGATTTGTTACCGGAATTATGAGTGAAATTTGAGTGAATAAAGTGAGTGAGATATAAAATGATGAAAAAATTTATATACTTAATACTTAAGATTTTAGTTTATAATATAATGTCAAGTCTATTGATATTGTTTCTCACCAGGTTCCCAAAACAAGGCAATTAATTAAGAATGAGTTTATGCTTTATAATATAACTTTGTTTTTATATAGAATGGTAATTGTTATATTTTACTAATTTTTTTTATTTTTTAATTATATTTTTTTTTCAATTTACCATTATGTCTTAAAATTAATTTTAAATACTCATATAATATTTTAAAGAATAATAATTATGTAAATTTGTGAAAAAAATATAAAAGAATGCTCGTAGGTTAAAAAATATATTTGTCATTAGATATGGTTATTTACAGCTACCCCAAAAATTACGTTGTTTTGATAAATGAAAAATGTTTCTATAATTTTAGGTGAATTAATGAAGCGAGTTTCAGTAAAAATATATATGATAAAAAATAAACAAAATTACGAAAACACATTTCCTTAATTCACCTAAAATTACAGAAACATCTTTCATTAATCAAAACAACGTAGTTTTTGGGGTAGCTGCAGATAATCTTATCTAAAGTGGCTGTAGAAATATTTATCTATATATATATATAGGTAAATATTTATAATTTTTTAAGATTTCAATACCAAAACGACGTCGTTTTGGGAATAAAAGCAGATAACTTATCTGCAATAACTGCAGAAATATTTTTTCCTTCTTTTATATATATATATATAAATCCAAGTCAAGTAAAACTACAGTAAATTTTGAAGAAAAAAAAACTCAAATAAATTTTTTGGTTGAACCAGTACTACAGGCTGCAATTATTCTCCAAAGTATTGTAAATAAAATATTATTAAAATGTAAATTATCTTATAGTTTCAATCCTATTGGAGCATCGCCGGACCTAGATCAAAGGCAGCTCTTTCTATTTACCAAAATAAAATAAAATAGCTCTTTCAATATTATTTTATCCATTCATATTTTTTAGTGTTAAACTAATCTTATATTAAAGGAAATAGCTTATCTTATGTGGGTGAGACAAAATCAATGTGGGTCCCATCTTTTTTTTTTTTTTTAATTGGGATTCACATCAAATTTATCTCAGACATACTCTCTTATGTAACATGAGATAAGTTTAGCCTTATTTTTTATCATCTAAATTGGATACATTATCTGTAAAATTTTCTATACAATTATTCAATGATAAATTAATAAATTATTATAACTTCCTATATTAAAAAGTTATCAAATGCGGATTGCGGCATGTCGCGGTTGTTACGAAATCGGCAACTATACCGTTCGTTTCAAGTAATAAAGTGATAAGTAGAGTATCGTTCCCACGAGGATTAATCACCAAATACTAGCTTAACTATTCCCCGTAAGTTGAAAGAGAAAATTTGGTTGAGTAATTGATTTGGAATTTCAAAACAGAATTTTAAAACAATTAAATTTAAAACAAAAAATTAATAACAATTAAATTTGAACGCATACAAGAATTAATCAAGAACGTAATAAAATATTGACAGAAATTTGTAAAAAGGATGTAGTCAGGATACACTTCACCTCCCATCCTCCCTTATATTCCTATATTGTATTTTATAATTAATTAATTGGTTTGCTCAGACAATTCATTATTTTCCTATAAAATAGTTGAACCCTAATGTCTTAGTGATTTCAACCCTTTAACCCAATTAGAATCTTAATGTCTTAGTAATTCCTCTTGAATCAAGCATTAAGCAAATGAATTATGAGTCTGCAATCTATGTAAGCCTATGTCTAGATCATACACAAATTGTTATTCTATCCTTGTCCAGATTAAAACCCCAATATGTCTATTGTGAATTCTAACCCTCAAAATCCTATAATTTAGAGTGTCCAATTCTAAACAGGATATGAAAAAATTAACACAGGTAGAATAAAACTAACTAACTAATTAAATTATAAAAACAATATAGAAAATATAAAGGATTCACATTGGGTCTGTGATCCCAACTACAAAAAAAAACTAGCCAGACATAGCTGGCTTAAACAAATTAAAATAATAAAAAGAATTCATAAAGCAATAAAGAAAAAGAAGGAGAAGAAGAAGAAAGATCAATGATCTTCGGTCTTCAACTCCGTCGGAATCCTGATCTCCAGCGGGAGCCTCCAAGAATTCTCTCCAGCCAAAGATTCTTTGTCTCTGAGGTCTGAGTCTCTATTTATAGAGTTTGGGCCTTGCTTAGAAATCTTGATCAAATCTTCATCATATATCTGGATCAAATCTTCATCATATATCTTGGTCCAATCTTTCTGATACAATTCTGAGATAAGTTGAAGATTTTCCTACAAAAATATAATAAAATCACTGACAAGATATCTGATTGAGATTTATCAATTTAATAACAATTATAACCCTTTTTTATCCAAGATCGATCAAGATTCTTTCTCTTTTTGGCTTAAAATCATATATATGCTGGAGGCATATCAGCGGCCAACCTTGAAAAATGCTATAGTGCTATAGCGGATTACGGTTGTGGAATAGATATATGACAGAAATAATGACAAAAAGAAATAATTTTTAAAGGAAGAGATAGTAAAAGTGACAGAGAAAGACGCAGATAGACTAAAAAATCCTTAAAAATGTTCTATTACACATTTAAATTTAGGACAAAGTTGACATTTTCTCTTATGACAGCAATATGGTAGCGATTTGGCTACAAATGCGACTACAATGGCCGTTATTGCGTTCCGATGCGACGCGGCGCGGTTTCTTGCGGCGAGGCACCACAACTATTGCGGCACAAGTAACTACTATGAAGAGTTATACTTCTAAGATATCTCTTGTGTTAACCAAACTTTTTTAATGCAATTATACATGGTAGCTTGATTCGTCTTAAAAAGAATTTATATAGCTGTAATTTATCGTAATCTTATTTTGTTGGACAAGTACAAAACTCAAGAGGGAAAGAACAAAATGAGTTTTAAAAGTCTTTTAGCAAATTGATTTGCTTTTTTTATAAAAACAATTTTTTGAGATGATTTGATTTAAGATAAGTAAATGGTGATGGATAATAACTAAGACAAGCAAATAATGATCAATAGTTAGAAGCTAAATGTGATTAAGTATGCTAAGAATGCTTATGTAAAGTAGGTAAATGATAGAAAGAATACAAACTTAATTTATCCTGGTTTATTTATAACTATACATCAAACTTTAAGGGTGCTTGGCAAATCATTATAGCCACCAAGATTATGGTTCTTGAACACCTAACAATTCCACCCAAATTTCTAAGGCAATGGGATACCTTTCCAACACTTAAGGTCTCACTAACCTTAACAAAAAATCACGT